TCTTGCCATCTCCTGTTTGACCACTTCCAATTTGCCTTGATTCATGGACCTAACATTTCAGGTTCCTATGCAATATTGCTCTTTACAGCATCAGACCTTGCTTCTAACACCAGTCACATCCACAACTGGGTGTTGTTTTTGCTTTGGCTCCATCCCTTCATTCTTTCTGGAGTTATTTCTCCACTGATCTCCAGTAGCATATTAGGCACCTACCAACCTGGGGAGTTCATCTTTCAGTGTCCTATCTTTTTGCCTTTTCATACTGTTCATGGGGTTCTCAAGGCAAGAATACTGAAGTGGTTTGCCATTCCCTTCTCCAGTGGACCACATTTTGTCAGAACTCTCCACTATGATGCATCCATCTTGGGTGACCCTACACAGCATGGCTTATTTTCTCTGAGTTACACAAGGCTGTGGTCCATGTGATCAGATTGGCTAGCTTTCTGTGATTCAGGTTTCAGTCTGTCTGCCCTCTGATACCCTCTCTTAGAGCCTGCCGTCTTACTGTTTTGTAAGTAGTTGATATTGTAAATCAACTACTGCTAATTTTTAAAGAAAATCTGTAAACACACAAAGACCTTTATCTTGCCTTAAAATGGAACTCTATTATATAGCAAAGCATGAAAATGAGTATAAATATGAAAATTCATGTTAAAATTGGGGTATGAATAAATCAGAGAAGAAAATAATACAGTGTAAAAGACACCAAAGTAGCCTCTACTCATTTAATTTTCCTTACAACTTATAAATGCTATCACAATTCTAAAGAGACTGGACTTGGGTGAAAATTTTTTATTATGAAGACATCGGTCTAAGGACAGAAGGATAAACATGTGCCCAGCTTACAATTCCTTGTAAAAATAATAACAAGAAAAATTAGTAGAAAATAAAAATCTGAAAGTTATCTGGATTCTGAAAATGTTAAGCAATTCTCCCTGTACCTTAATTTTGATCATTTTTGCTGGATTATTTCTGCATATTTAGGCAAAGAGAGTATTTAATTTTTCTGTTGTAATTAATAACGTAGCACATCCTTCAGAGCTTGGCATAGTCTTTAAGAATCATCTGGAGCTTCTGGCTCAGCAAGATATTCCCTCTGGCCTTCAGCCTGCCACTAAAGAACGCCTGGAAAGGAGAAAGGGAAAGAATACCAACCTTTGTTACATCACAGTTTCTATCTTTTTAAAAAAGATCATTGTTAAGACTGACTACAATTGAGTTAATAACTCTGGACAACAAAGGCAACTTTTATCCAGCAATGATAGTTTAATGATTATAAATAGCACCCAAGTTTTAGATATCTAAGAAAAAATAAAGATGGCTTGTATATTTTAGAAAACCATAGAATAGAAAGATCTGGTGCCTCTGCTTCAACCTATGCTTCTGGCTTTAATCCATGTTCTTAAATGTGAATTTGAGACCATATGAATAAAAAGGCTTTACTGTATTACTAACAATAAAAATATTCAATTCAGAACTTTTAAAAATAGATTTAAAATATTTATTATATCTTCATGAAACAGAAGGCCATATATTGGCAAAATAACATAGTCCAACAAAGCGGTACATAGATCCTAAGCTGTAGCATCAGAATGCCTGGGTTAAAATCTAGGCTCTGCCACTAAATGGAAGGTGAGCGTGGACAAGTGACTTAACCTCTCTGAGCTCTGGCATCCTTATCTATAAAGAATATGACAATAGCACCTAAATAGCAGCTTTGTTGTATGAGTTAAATGAAACAGTGTGCAAAGTTCTTTGCTTACAGCGCCTGACATACAGAAGTAGGTATTAAGCTCATTATTACAAGTAAAAGGCTGTCATGTTACAACACTAAGAGCTCCAGTTCTTTTCTGAGCTGACAAAAGAAATGTGTGCAATTTCTCCCCCACTGTCAAGTTCTCTAACAGTAAAATAAAACTGATAAAACACATACAGCTTACTAAGAAAACAAGATATGGAATATGAAGTGAAAAGAAGTCTCTAGATTTTTAGCTAGATTGAAAAAATAGTAATATCCACGTATACTTAACATTACAAAGCAGCCCCACAAGTAAAATTTCACTTGGGAAGCACAGCCATCAACCTGAACTGGGCATACTAGCAAAAGAGATGTTCAGAAAGCTTGAAAACATGCTCAAGACCATAGTGCCAATTCAGGTACTCTCTGCTTAACAGTCTCTCCTGATCATTAACTAGCAGCAACTTAATCTCAGCACCAAATCCTCACCACCTGGAGGAAAAGCAAAAACTACTCAAACTTTTCATCCCAAAATTAATACAGGATAATTTCATTCAATCAGGATCAAGTGCTAAGCTTTCAAACTGGACACTGGAATTTTAAAACTAAGACTGCTTTCACTGAGCAGCTACAGACATGATGGTCTGCAACTCCCGCAGAGAGTCACTACTGAGACCTGCTTGCCAGGAGCTACGATCTGAGAGGGACTTCACAAGCAATAAGAACACCTATTTCCTTGAAGTAAATACACCAATATGTGGTGGTTGTTATCGAGTAGAAGAATTTTGTAAAGAAATCTCTGTTCCTATTTAACTGTTTTCTTAGGACAGGTTCCTAGAAGAAGAATTACTGAATCACGGCATCTAAATCTTCTTGACCATACTTCCATTATCATGGTCTTCAAACTTTGTTCCTCACTGCACTAGGGCACTGCAGTGAACTCAAACACACTTTGGAGTATTTAAATTTTTTGAAGAAAATACAGTGACATTGGTCAAAGACAACACAAAAAACTACTCTTGTTTAGATCTAACTGTTTAATAAACTGAACCATTAGATATTTCTTTTGGCTGAGCAATGCCATACAAACTTTTTTTTATTGAACTGTAAGTTGCCATAAAAGAAGTCAGTGAAACTCTCACAGTGCTTTCCAGAAAGACTGTATCAAATGAAGACTCCTTCTAGCTACGTGTGAATTCTCTTATCCCAACCTTAATAATACTATTTCTCCAATTTTTGAAAATCTGAGGCAAAAATGACATGCTTTAATTTGCATGTTTTAGATACTGGGGAAAAATTAGTAATTGTTCTTATGTATGTTAGTCATTTCCCTCTCTCATTAATTATTGTTTTATGTCTTTTGCTCATTTTTTTTACACTGAGGTCTTATTGTTGCCCATAGTTTTTTTAGGTTATTGACCCCAATATACTATGTACCATCATTTCCACTCCCCCCCTCCCCCCAGGTTTATGGAATGTCTTATAGAGGGAGCCTGACAAGCAGAAGTTTTACATTTCTACACAGCCTAAACTACTATTATTGAACTTATGTTCCTTATTTCTATCCTTGCTTTAATCTATTCTAGTATTAATTAAGCATCTAAAGTACCCTAGGCAATATATTATGCTAGAAAAGAAACATCTCTCCCTGTTCTCAGGGTGCTAACATTACAATAGTTAAGTCAAAAAACAAAATGTGAACAAGTAATTAAAGACATAAATACTATTAAGGAGGTTATGAAAAAATATAACAGGAGGGAACTACTCTTGAAAAAACAAAGCCAGTCCTGCAAAAAGATAGGGATTGAAATTCCAGAAAAGGCAAATAAATAGACATTGAAGGAATAAAAATTGATGGGAAGGAACTAAGAGGAAAGGCAATGTAAACTGATTTAGTATAAGGGATGCGGCAAGCAGGGAAGATGGGCAAGGGAAGCGTCACAAACAATATGATAACAGGTAGTTTAGATTTTATCTAAGTGCAAAAGAAAATCTTGGAGGTTTTTATCAAGTGGAATAACCGATAATCTGATTTCATTCTTAAGAGATTATTCTGGCTCCTGTGTGAACAGATCGGTGGAAAGGCAAGACTAAATGTAGTAAGACCAGTCAGGAAGCCAGGTGAGAGATGATGGAAACTTAGGTCATGATGATATTCCTAGTAATGAAGAGAAGAAAATGAATACTAAAGATAGATTTTGGAGAAATAACAAACGGGATTAAGGATAGAAAGGATACAAAGGTAACGAAAGACGCCAAGACAATTCTTGTATTATTGAGCATACTAATTTCAGTAGACAGATCATTGTGCCATTTCCTGAAAAAAGACTTGGGGCAGAAAATTAAATCACAAGTTCTAAATGGGACATAATAAAGTATCCCATCAGAGATGCAAGTAGAGAGATGGTTATATCACTGTGGAACTCAGAGAAGATGACTGAGTGAGACAATTAAATCTGTAAGATGACAACATATAGATGGCTCTAAGTACCACAGGATAGATGGACTCATTTAAGAAGAGTATTATTTAGAGAAGAGTCCTGAAATGAGCTCTCAGAAATACCAAAACCCAATGGCTGGGGGTAAAAGAAGAAGACACCACAGGAGATTAAGAACAGCCAAAGGTGGAAAAAGCAAAATAGGAGAATAAGGTGTCATAAAAGGCAATGGATGAAATTATTTCAAAAAGTTGGTGGTTAACTGAGTTAAATGCTACTAAAAAGCTGAGAAAGACCTAGACAGAGAAATATTCACTGGATTTATGAGTTTTATGGTGTCATGTCTTATGTTTAAGTCTTCAAGTCCTTTAGAGTTTATTTTTAACCTTTTTTTTAAAATGTATCCGCTAGATAATTTCTGATTACATGTGTGGCTCATATTATTATATGGGGCTTCACCTCTTGGCTCAGATGGTAAAGAATCTGCCTGCAATGCAGGAGACCCAGGTTCAGTCCTTGAGTCAGGAAGATCTCCTGAAGAAGGGAAGGGCTACCCACTCCAGTATTCTTGCCTGGAGAATCCCATGGTTTTAATCACATATGTAGCTCACACTGTATGTCTAACGTGACAGCACTGGTTTAGACAATTCTTTTGTGAAAAGGAAAAAGATTTGATACAGCATGCTGGATGGGGATTGCTTTAAGATCAGTGTTAGCTTGCCTCTGTGCCATCATGAAATGAGAGAGAATGATGTAGAAAAAAGCGGAAGGATAGCAGCAATGACTTTGAGTAGATACCTGGATGAGAAATGAAGATGTCTTTGACAGAAAGAGGGAGACTTCCTTCAACATAATATACAGGAAGTAAAGAAGATGGACGCAGATGCTGATGGGATTCTCTGCCGGCTCAGATGGTAAAGAATCCTCCTGTAATGTGGGAGACCCAGGTTTGATCCCTGGGTTGGGAAGATCCCCTGGAGAAGGGATGGCTACCCACTCCAGTATTCTTGCCTGGAGAATTCCATGGATAGAAGAGACTGGCAAGCTATAGTTCATGGGGTCACAAAGAGTCAGATACAACTGAGCAACTAATACACACACATGCAGATGCCAATAGAATAGATCTAGTGATGGGAAGGCAAGTATTTTCATCTGAGGTCTTTCTTTTCTCCCCAAAGAAGCATGAAGAAAGGTCATCAGCTGAAGACAAATATGAAAAACACATCTCAGACAACAGGAATGGAAGCTTAGTGGAAAATCACAGTAAGACTGCTAGACAGTGCTTAAAGACCAGTTGAGATTTGTAATCAAAATCTGAGGCTTCCCTGGTGGCTCAGTGATAAAGAACCCACTGGCCAATGCAGGAGACGCAGGTCCAATTCCTGGGTCATAAAGATTCCCCTGAAGAAGGAAATGGCAACCCACTCCAGTATTCTTGCCTGGACAATCCCATGGACAAAGGAACCTGGTGGGTTACAGTCCATGGAGTCGCAAAGGAGTTGGACATGGCTTAGCAAATAAACAACAAAAATCAAAATTTTAAAGGGAATCCAACTTGTCTAGTGGTACAGTTTTCCTCCTAACTCCTTCATGTATTCTGGTACAGATAGAAAGATGGCAGAGAGTAGAGTTAAAATAGGGTGGACTTTTCCACGCAAATAAGATGAGAGATATACAGGGAGATGATATTTTCAAGGGAGCAATTATGATGGACCACAAAATCTAAGCTAAACAAGAAGAGATGAAAAGATAGAAGGGCGTTGACAGACAGAAAGTGGTGGTGTCAACAAACTGGAGGCCTCTCAAGTTCAACAGCAGTAGTAAGAATCACAAAACAAAAACAAGCAAGGGATGGTAATGGGAAATGGTGATGTTTTGAAACAGATATTTGAATTTATACATTTTATGCTTCCAATAAAGACAAAAGCTGATACAGAATGGACTGAAAGACAATTTGAAACAATATCAATAAACTAAGAGTCATCTGGTTAGAAAAGTCATTTTTATGAATGCTGAAGGAAGCCACCAAGGTTGACAAGAGTTGGTGCAGAGAGAGACTGTACACTAGGATATACGGTGTTTGACAGCTGAAGAACCGGGGTGAGAGCACCAAGGTGGGGCAGAACATAATTGAGCCCAATGAGTTTAGAAAACCTCTAGTATTAATTAGAACTTCTCTAAGGACTAGATCTTTGAGAATAATAAACAGCTAGGTTTGCATCAAGTTTTGCCTCTGCTTTAATTTTTTCACACTTAATTCCATTCTGTCTGGTATTGACAGAATGGTACACAGAATGACACAAACCACTATCGTTTACTATGCAGCTTCCCAGTATCATTTACCCCCAAAGACCTGATATTCCTAATGATTGTACAAATGTTACATAAAGGTTTCCCTAAATCCTACATTTAATCCTTTAAAGGCACCTCAAGTAAATCTTACAAAAGAACTCTTAATTACTCACTCAGCAGCCATAATGACCTTTAAAAATCAGATGTCAATCCAGAGCTCAACAGCTTCCTATCATATACAAGATCTAAACTCCTCACCAACATCTACAAGGTCCAGTATGATTAACCCGTGCCTACTTCTCCCTTTTCCCCTCCTGTCTCTCTCCCCACTGCTCCTTTTGTTGGCCTCCTCACAGTTATATCCAATAAGCAGAGCTACTGGTGCCTCCAGCCTTTGCACTGGTTGTTTCTTTAGCCTTACGGTTCATTCCCTCATCCTCACTTTGCTCAGGTCTCTATCAAGTTGTTTTGGACAACCCTATCTAAAATAGTGCCTCTAGACTGTCACACTCTAATCCAGGGGTTGGCAAACTGCAGCCCAAAGGCCAAAACCAGTCTGCTGCATATTTTCATTCATAAACAAATTTGAGTGGAAGTCAGTCACACCCAGTGGTATATATATTATCCATGGCTACTTTATAAATGGCAGAACCAAGTAGGTGCATCAGAGACCATCTGACCTGCAACAGAGACCATCTGACCTGCAAAGTTTACGGGACGCTTTACAGAAAAAGTTTGCCAACCACTACTGTAACCCGTAACTCTGACTTATTTTTCTCCATACCTGAAATTATATTTCTTTTCCATTTCCCTCCAGAAATAAGCTCTGCCCAGAAGGGGCACTGTCTTCTTTAGCCACATCAGGCACCCAAATAAAAGGAGGTACTAAATAAATTCCTGGGAAAGAATTAACTGAGAGCTCACTCAGTACCTCGCATTATAGTAACACTTCATGCATATTAGTGAATTTAGTTATCGTCCATTTAGTTCTTTGGGACTATCATTATTCATTTTACAATGACAAAATTAAGGTTTAGAGAGTAGGTGGCAGAGCTAAGATTCAAACTCAGGTTTATCTGGTGCCAAAGGAATGTATTTTTAACCACGATACAACTTTATAATTCTTTTTAGTCTTTCTATCCAGGGAAATTGAACATTTTCTCCTTTATTCAAATTGTTCTGTAACTTGTAAAGTTGTATTGTTTTCTGCAAATAAGCACTGTGCCTTTCTTATTTTGGTAGTCATTGGTTCTTGGAAGTTTGGGCAGTTATTATAAACAAATTTTTTAAATTACATCTTCTAGTTGGTGTTGCTGCTATGTGAAAGCTATTTTTAAATTATTACTGTGCATTCAACCATTTGTTTGAACTCCTCTGATCTAAGAATCATCTGATCTTCTTGGGATTTCTAGCTACATAATCATGATTCAAAAATTACAAAATCTCCTCCTCTCTTCTAGTTGCTACATCAGTTACTTTAATTTTGTGTGTCTGTGGTTACCCACAGGTTTCAGAACAATATTAACTTATAATGGTCAGTGAAGGTACTCCTGTTTTAATCATAATTTTCTACTGAAATGTCTCTACCCTCAGAAAGATACTGGCTATTATATTCCATCTTTCTATTTCCAGTTTACAGTGATGATTAAGACAAATTCTTAATCTTACATATCAAGGAAAAATGTCTAATTTTATGAAATATCATATGTTTTTTACCTCTGAACTAATGATGATAAATTAAAAGGTCTAGATATGAGTTTTATATTGTTTATCTGCTGAAGAAGCATTTCACTCAAAACTTTATTTTTAACAAGTTATTGGCTGAAAAACTCTATTAGAAAAATATATGATCTGTCAACTTGAAAACTGCTATCAACTCTGCCTTTCTTCAGAGTTGTAAGAAATCTGTCAAAACTAGAATTTTGGAGTCAGCCAAAAACTGCAACTGTAAAATAGGAAGCAACAATGACAAATAAATAAACATTTTAAGAACTTTACCTTCTGAGGATCAAGCTTGCCCAAGACTACTTCCATGAAATCATCATCTGAAAGTGTGATGGTTACATCAGCAGAGCCTTTTGCAGGGCCTTGATACACTTTTCCAGAACCAGTTTTCAGGTCAATAGCTGGGAAAAACAGGAAGAAACCAATATCAGTCGTTTTTATCTTTACAACATGAAAATAAAATGAACCAAATAAATGCAGATTTTTTTCAAAGTTTCAGAGTTACTGTGGTGTTTATTATACATTATATATTACCTATCACTTAGGGAAAAAAATGTAAATCCTTTATTTTTTGAGATGTCCTTTTTATAAAGAATATGATTTTCAAAAGAATCATATCAATAAAATTTTTCTTCATTGAAGAAGTTTACACAATAGAGAGATTTGAAAAGTGAATCAATGTAGAATAACATAATAAAGTTAAGAGGTTGGAAGTTATATGGTTAAGATCTTTAGATTCAAATAAAGACTCTACAGTCAACAAAGGTAAAAGAGAATTTTAAAACAATTGCATATTGGTTGGGGTCGGGGAAGGGAATGCACACTCATCACCTTTCAATAACTTGAATTCATCAAAGGTTCTGCCATATGAATTAAATGATAGCAAAATTAAATTTTTAAAAGTATTTCAATTAGTCATTTATTTATAAAATGCTTATTGCCCTAACTGTTGTGAATAAAGGTTAAAATTAAAATCTTTTCCTTTAACTGTTTTGGACAGCAGGATTAAGTGTTCCAGAAACAGGCTGGGTAACTGGAAAAGCTATTAAAAATTTACCTCCTTCATTGCTCTCTATATAGCACAGAGCTTTATGTTAACACTACATTTCAGAAAGTTTTCACTGTCACACATGTGACCAAGACCACTCATCCAGGAAGGCCAATTCCACACATCCAGCTTTAGCCTCTTGAATGTGCTTTCTCTACTACTGCAAAGAAGCTATGATCACATCACTCTCCCTAAGAGTATGTAGGGAACTCCCAACTTAGGATCAAGAAAAGACACACACATGTAAGAAAAATTATATAGACTTGTTAGCCAAGTTCTGCTGCAAAAACAGAATTAAATCACGTACACTGTCCACAGAAGATAAATTTGCCAACTAAACTAAAAAAATATAAATAAATAACATGACTACCTACGGTTACCTTGGGGAAGAGAAAGAGTAAGAATGGAAACTTTTTGCTTTGTTTCATTCACTCATTTCATTGTTTCATTTCTTCTATGGTTCTCAGACATTATGCAAGATACTAGGAATAAGGCATGAAGAACAAAGGCTCTGCTCTTGCTGGCACATACATTATTACAAACATGTTTTTCCGTGTTATTTGCATAGTTAAAAACAAGAGTAGAATAAGAGAAGGAGGAAGGCAGGCAGGGAGGGAGCCGGGAGAGAATATTGGGAGGGGGTCAGAGGGTAGAAAGGAAAGACTAAAGAAAAGCAAACCTCTGACATTCAACACATACTGTTTTAATTCTTCACAAGTGAGTCTAAGGCCCGCTGTATGCACTAGTCTTGCTCGGGAATAAAAATGGACTCACACACACACAAAAAAAACTGGACTCACACAATCTTAATACTTCAGTGTGGAGTAAGTCTCTCAGCTAATGAAGGCCCTTCTAATGAAGTGCTATCGACCTGCCCTCTCACTCACTCGGTTTTACCTGCTGCTTCACAGCCACGTTCTTATAAAGCAATACAACTTTTTTCTGTGGAAAGCTAATAACTAGTGCTGATAAACGAAAAGAGGGCTAAAAAGGGGAAAGTTCTTAGCAAGAAGACTAGCCCCGTCAGACCACCTCAGCCCAACAGGGCAGAGACCACACTGGTCCTCACTCAGGCAGCCGTCCAGCTCCTACGTGACCAAGCACCACAGGCCTCAGAGCGGCCGAACCGTGAAAGACACAACGAAGATGCCTCCTACTCCACGGCCAAAGCCAAGCCTGATGCCAGAACTCTCCTCGTTCTCTTTAGACTCACACTAACTTGGTTGTTAAAAATCCCAGCACAGACACACCTCTGCCCAGCGGTTCACTGTTGGTGTTGTCTGGATGGAGAGATACAGGAAGGAGCAGGGAAGATGGGCGCAGTGCACGATCTCCAGGTTGGAATGCATCTTTCAGGCCACTGAGCCCAAATCCCTTGGCTCCGAGACTTGCTCAAGGGTAGGCACTCTGTATAACCCCAGTTCCACAGGTGAACAAAGTAGCTGAGCTTGTTCTCTCTAAACAGGTTTGCGTCTGCCATAATGTGAACAAGGCTAGGCCAACTAAAATGATTAGAAGAGCATTTTAAAAACAGCTTGCAAAAAAAAAAAAAATTAGGTATTCCCTAAGTCAAGGTACTCAGTCACCTATTTTATGTCATTACGCACCAAGATGCAAAAAAAGAGGTGCCAATGTGGAATCATCTTCTAAAAAACATCATAAGCCAAAAATCTTAGGTACTTTCTACTGATGCCAGCTCTGATTTAGCTCAGGGACACAGACGGTGAGAAACAATTTGAATTGAAAAAAGATACACACAGCTTAGAATCAAATCAAACAAGAGACACACAGATAACTAAAGAGAATAATCAACACTTTCAGAGAAAATGTTCAAGCTTCAAGATCCAATTTGATTGTTAGCTTTGATAAATAAATTTGAAGAAGATACAGTAAAACAAACACCACAGGCATCAATTATAAGTAAGTATTAACAGGATTCAAATATTCCCATTTTGGAGTGGAAATAAAAGAAAAAACCCTTTGCCTAGGTTAATAAAAGGCAATTACCAAATGTAAGCACATTTTCTAATACTGTCTACAAGGCAAGTGACACTAAGATAAGGTGAAAATATTAGTTGGTTATTGACACTATATTGAAGAAAATTATCCTATTTGTCAGAATGAATCGCTTGTATATTTTATTAATCTCTACAGAGTTCTATTCTGCCAACTGTGAGACACACAATTCCAGCAACTTTTCTCACTCTTGTCTCATTCCTTTCCATGACCAGTATCTTCAAAAATTCCAAGCTTTATATTTATAACTCAACTTGTAATATAGTTTCGTCTATAGGGAAGAGGTAGAATTCCATCATTCATAGATAGAAGTAAGGACAGAACAAAGAAAGAACGGCAAGTGATAATACCTACATTTCACTGTTAATCTATAAAGATTTTTAGAAAAAAAAATAGACACTGAAATTTGGAGAACTAAATACATATTACATGTTTGGCTTCCTTTATCCCCTTCTGAATTAACTTCCTATGAGCACAAATGTCTTCCAGAAGGACAAATACCAAAAATGTTAACTGTGAGTAGTGGGATTATACATCAGTATTTTCCACTTTATACTTTTTTTTTTTTTTTTTTAAAAAACAGCTTGCAAAAAAAAAAAAAATTAGGTATTCCCTAAGTCAAGGTACTCAGTCACCTATTTTATGTCATTACGCACCAAGATGCAAAAAAGAGATGCCAATGTGGAATCATCTTCTAAAAAATATCATAAACCAAAAATCTTAGGTACTTTCTACTGATGCCAGCTCTGATTTAGCTCAGGGACCCAGACTGTGAGAAACAATTAGAATTGAAAAAAGATACACACAGCTTAGAATCAAATCAAATAAGAGACACACAGATAACTAAAGAGAATAATGAACACTTTCAGAGAAAGTGTTCAAGCTTCAAGATTCAATTTGATTGTTAGCTCTTATAAATTAGGACCTGTAGAAGATACAGTAAAACAAACAAAAACCACAGGCATCAATTATAAGTAAGTATTAACAGGATTCAAATATTCCCATTTTGGAGTGGAAATATAAGAAAAAACCCTTTGCCTAGGTTAATAAAAGGCAATTACTAAATGTAAGCACATTTTCTAATACTGTCTACAAGGCAAGTGACACTAAGATAAGGTGGAAATATTAGTTGGTTATTGACACTATATTGAAGAAAATTATCCTATTTGTCAGAATGAATCGCTTGTATATTTTATAAATCTCTACAGAGTTCTATTCTGCCAACTGTGAGACACACAATTCCAGCAACTTTTCTCACTGATCTCATTCCTTTCCATGACCAGTATCTTCAAAAATTCCGTGCTTTATATTTACAACTCAACTTCTAATATAGTTTCATCTATAGGGAAAAGGTAGAATTCCATCATTCATAGACAGAAGTAAGGACAGAACAAAGAAAGAATGGCGAGTGATGATACCTACATTTCACTGTTAATCGATAAAGATTTTTAGAAAAAAAAATAGACACTGAAATTTGGGGAACTAAATACATATTACATGTTTAGCTTCCTTTATCCCCTTCTGAATTAACTTCCTATGAGCACAAATGTCTTCCAGAAGGACAAACACCAAAAATGTTAACTGTGAGTAGTGGGATTATACATCAGTATTTTCCACTTTATACTTACATACACCAAAATTTATATAATGAAAATACAGTCCCTTAAAGGAATAGCAATTGTCATGTTAAAAAGAAACTTGTATGAAACCAAAATCAATTGAATTCAAAATGTTTTCTAGGAATATGTAATAGAAGATGGTCTCAAAAAGTTTCAGCTGATCTAGAGATACATTTTAAATTTTTTAGTATTAACAAGCATTTACAGTGATCTTTGGTTGTAATAAGGAATAAAACAATCTGATTTACATGGTACTTAAACAGGCACTCTAAAACAGTAATCTTAGAATAAAAACAATAAAAATCTACAAAAGAGTACTTTCTGCTGTGCAAGTAAAATGCTAAACCTAAAGATTTTTTCCTTAAAAAAAAGTCTGTATAGACCCATTATCTGCATGATATGTAGTGTACAAACAATGAATGAAGATGGTTCATGACATCAGCTGTGGGACTTGCAGAAGCACCGCCTACAATCCTTGCTTTCAGGTACCACCATGGTATACTACTATGAGTATAGTATTATAGTATGCTATGAGGAGGATTACAACCAGGCTTGAGATGGGCCTGAAAGTTCACATGGTCCTAGAGCATAAATAAGCCAATCACAGGCCACTTCGTGGAGCTCCTCAGCATTCCAGGGGCTCTTAGCCCATCTTAACTACATGAGATCTCACTGTAATAGTTCACGATTATGAAGGAAGCGGAAAATCCTTGAGCTAGAAACTATTCTGAATGCTCCCTATACTACATCAGAAGATAGATGCTTGACTACAAATGAAAGGATCCTGTCACTTGGGACTTCAAGACAAAAAACACAAAAATCCAAAAACTTTCAGGAAACATTCACTGGGATACCATATTTCTCCAGCATCTCTAGAGATTAGAATATTCTATAAAATAAACATATAGTTAGAATATAAAGAAAGAACGCTCTACAGATCAAAGTAAGGCTAGAGTACTCTATAATATAAAGGTAAAGAAATGATGGTGAAAGTTCATTAATAGCATGTTTCATGACTCAAAATATGAATGGCTGTCAGCTATGGAATGAATATTCGTATTCCTCCAAAATTCATATGTTGAAGCCCTAATCTCCAAACAATGATGATATTTAGAAACAGAAAAAAAAAAAAGAAAGAAAGAAACAGAGCCTTTGGGAGGTGATTAGGTTTATATGAGGTGGTGAGAGTAGAGCCTCCATAATGGGATTAGTGTCTCTCTCGAAGAAGAGACATGAGGGAGATGATCCTTCTCTCTGCCTTGTGGGGAAACAGTGGGGAGGCAGCCACCTGCAAACAGGAAGAGGGTTCTCACCAGAACCCAACCCTGCTGGGACCCTCACACTGGACCTTCCAGCCTCCTCACTGCGAGAAAATAAGTTTCTGCTGTTTAACCTACCCAGTCGATAGTATATTTGTTACAGCAGCCTGAACTAAGATACTCTCATTGTTAGAAGCAGTGGCTTCTCAGTCTGTATGATTGATGATGAGAAACAGAATGGATGTATACTCACTTCACTGTCCTTTCGCCTATAGAGAAACACAGGGAAATCTGAAAAAGTTACACATTTTTCTGTCACAACATACAGACACTGGATACTTAAAAACGTGCTAACAGATCTGGCTGACTAGCAAAGTCAGTCCACAAAGGTGTTAGTGCTTTTATTATGTTGACATAAAAAAAGAGAAAATTTTCTAATCTAGAAAAAAATTTTTACTCATCTTTAGTAATTTCATCTTACCTTCCCCAACTTTAAGAATTAAATTAAAATTTGACCCTGCAGTCTCTTAATAGGCCACAGAACAGAAAAGTTTGTGCTATGATTAAGAATGCAGTTACACAACAGATACAAAAAATATGGTAAAAAAAATTTCTTCTCCCTTTCTCTTTTTATCACCTAATTCTTCTTTCTTCATAAAATGGTAGTAAGGTTCTTTTGGAGCTCCATGTAAGTGAATGGAAGCATGACTGCTTTCTCGCTGCAGAAAGAGAGAAAGAGCCAACTTGGCTCATATTGGATACCTTGCCAGGTTGCTAATGGCACTCTGATAGATAATTTTCCTAGATTAAATAAAATTAGTACCTTTGATTGCCAGTTTTATACACTGAGAAAATAATTATGATTTTTTTTCATTTATTTTTATTAGATAATTATGATTTTATACTGATAAATAAGGTGATAATCCAAAATGTTAATTTGGGGGGGAGGAGGAAAAGTGATTTTAAATCTGTTAAAATATAATGATAATTACTCAACACTTTAAAATATTTCATTTAATTTGATGTACTTTCTTTATGTTTAAGAGGAATTTGAAGATTAAAGAAGCATAGAGCTAAGGCAACCGTTTAAAATACTAATTTCAAGTGTTACAATGAAATCTTCAAAACAGATTATTTTCATTTTAATTGATTCTTTTCATCTCTAAAAAACATACATGTCTGCATGCCATTAAACCCGTTGAACGTGAAAGTCGCTCAGTCATGTCCGATTCTTTGCAACCCCATGGACTATACAGTCCACGGAATTCTCCAGGGCAGAATACTGGAGTGGGTAGCCTTTCCCTCTTCCAGGGGATCTTTCCAACCCAGGGATCAAACCCAGGTTTCCCACATTGCAGGCGGATTTGTTTTACCAGCTGAGCCACAAGGGAAGCCCATGAAACCCATTATTTCCCATTAAAAACAAAAAACAACACCTTACTGAAGAAGGTAAGATTTACCTACCTTCAAAGAGACAGGCTTTAGTTATAACAAGGATACTTTATTTCTACTGACTAAGAGTTATCTTAGAATATTATAGGGACAGGACTTACTCCACTTGGCTGCAATATTTTCACCTTTAGTGATATGCCACTCAAACACAGCACCGACTTTCTTTACCACCTCTTGCCCAATATTCTGAAGGCGGCGACCTATTTCCTCAAACACAAGGGTACTCTGAAGCCCCGCACCCTAGCAAAAACAGAAAAGATAATCATTTCATTTTAAAAGATATGTAAAAATGACTCAAGGGGAAAAACTAGCACAAAATCAATGAGCAATAGGGTAATTTTTTTAAAAACCTGCACATAAATAAGGCAAACTAGTTTTTGTTACACTAGTCTTCTTTCACACCTTTCTATTTATTTATGTCATCCAGAACCTCGATCCCCTAATAAAAGAATTTTACTTTTATCAGAATTCAGAAATAATATTTTACAAGTAGACTAGGAACTAACTAAACAACTTATATCCTAACAGACTTCAGCAGGAAGATACTCGACAAATTAATCAACTTCTGTCATCTCATTTCTTCATTTGTAAAATGAGACTAAATTACATGAAACTTGAATTTCTTTCTAGCTCTAAAATTTCTTAAGTTTTTGATCTTAGATTCTTTTTAAAGAGATTTTAATTTTCATTCAGTTATGTGATAATATGGCTAAACACAAATATCATGGATTTGAAAACTTCAACATTACAAAGTTAATATTCTGGAGACAGAATATAAATACTTTTATTAATTTCAGCATGTTAATAGACAGTAATACAAATATTTTAATAAATAATATATGCTACTGCTTTTATATATGCACTGAATGCTTTATACAAATTTTTAAATCAAGAAAAAGGTACATGATATTTAACTTTTTAACCTTTCTCCAAAATACTATTTACTTAAGATTTCTTATTAAACAAGTGATTTATTTACTTTAAAACTAGAAAATCAATTATATTATCTTAAAAGATACCCTAGTATCACCACAAAAAAAGTTTTCTAGAAATTCATAATTTTCAAAATATTCCTTTTCTTCCAGGCAGTTTTGAATTCATGGTCTCTAGTTCAAGAATTCAGAATCCTTCATAGCTCTGAATTTTCTAAAGTAGACTGGACACTCTTAAAGTGATCTCAACTGAAATTCATAAACCAGGCTATTACTTGGATGCTGTGCTGTGCTTCCTCAGTCCTGCCAGACTCTTTGTGACCCCGCGGACTGCAGCCTGCCAGGCTCCTCTGTCCATGTGGATTCTCGAGGGCTGCCATGCCCTCCTCCAGGGGATCTTCCCAACCCAAGGGATCACACCCAGGTGTCCTGCGCTGGAGGTGGATTCTTTCTGTCTGAGCCACGAGTGAAGCCCAAGAATACTGGAGTGAGCAGCCTATCCCTTCTCCAGGGGATCCTTCCTAACCCCAGAATCAAACCAGGGCCTCCTGCATTGCAGATGGATTCCTTACCAGCTGAGCTACCAGAGAAGGCCATGACTTGGATATCAGTGGTTATAACCTACCTCAGATGGTGTCTTTGCTGAAGCAGCAGACACTGGCACAAGATCCACATATGCATTTGAAATGACGATGTCTCCAGTTCCTTGGACCTTATAAACCGTATGAGAGGGGGGAAAAAAACCAGCTCACTCTATAAGACCAATGAAAATGAAATTTTATTGTGAAACGCTATAAAGTCTTTTAAAAGAAATTTACCTTTTTCTTCATATGAAAGAAAATCATCCAAATTAAATAAATAGTTCATAAGTTAAATGTCAACAGGAATAAACATGAAAGTTTATGACTTACTAAAATTGTAATTAACCCTAACCATAGAATCAACTGAAGCCTTTCTCAAAAATACTTATGACCAGGTCCCATCTCCAAAGATTCCTATTTAAACGGTCTGAGTCTGAGCATTGGTATTTAGAGGATTTATTTTGCAATATAAATATGTCTAATGGGGAGCCAGGATGAGAATTGCTTAATTCTTATAAATAGTAAAAGGCATGGCACAAAATCCACATGAGGCAGGGTACTCAAAGTATTATTTGCTTGGTTAATATACAACAAAACTGGATAGGAACAGACCTTCTATTTCAAGTAGGAACTATACACAGTACAAAGTAAACACTTGAATAGCCTTTTTTCAGAATAGTCATTAAAAGAACTCAATTCTAATTCTTAATATGGCACCTAAAATTATTTCAATAGTATTCTTTTGTAAAATTATGGTATTGCTACAAATGTATAGGATAATGTCTAAAACTTAAGGGTAGCATTTATTAAAACTGATTTTTAAGAATCAGGAAGATCATTCTCCCTTGACTATTTTCCATTATACTTCAGAAAAATAGATCTTCCAAACAATTTCTTCATTTTATTTCAAATTATATACAGTGGAAAGCATGAAAGGAAACAATTAATGAGCAAAATGCACTTTAGAAAATTACTCTCTTGTAACTAAGGAAGGGAAAGGATTCCCACAAATAGCTAATAGAAAAAGAATACCTCTAATAACTGGGGGGAATAATAGGAAATATACTGAATAGATAAGAAGACGTGCTTAGAATTTATCAAAATGACAAGAATGTATTATATTTAGACATTAAACTATTACTCAACTCTTTTTTTATTTATATGAATTATTTCTATACTGTTCATGATGAGAAAATAGAGCCCATAATTGTTTTCATGGTCCTTAATTCTTTTAGAGTTCATAATTTTATTCAAAACATAAACTTACATGAAATAGTTAGAAAATAAGAGGGTTTGGAAATATGTGGTACAAACATTTATTCCAAGAGGATTTCAGAGGAAAGCCAGGATGTGTGTTTGTATGAATGGGGGAAAAGGGAGTGGTAAGGGAATACCTCTGAGAACAAGGCAGAGCTTCAACTGATGCTGAAAAGACAAAGGAAATTTGAAAAGTGAAATAAACTGTGCATAAATGAATCAGGAAAATGATACTGAGAGCAGCAGGAAGTAATAAGAAGTAAGGCAGCCATACAAAGAACAGTTCTGGAAAGTTATTTATGTATGAAAGAAATCATGGTACAGTTTTTAAAAGAAAAGTTAGGACCTAGGAATTGAGTGCTGAGCCAGGCAGACCAAGGTGTATATCCCAGCTCTACCACTTTCTATGCAACCATGAGCAAATTATTTAAAAGATCTGAACCTAGATTTTCCCAAATTAAATGTAGAGTTGTTATGCATAGTAGAGATAATGAGATAGGCTGCTCATAGGTACTCAGTAACTATAAGCTGCTATTACTGTTGGTGGTGTTATTTAAACTGCTCAACACAAGACATTTAAGTAGTACAAATGATCAGGCCAAAAGGTAGCAGCCTGGTAGATGTGTTAACAAAAATTATCTATAAAAAACCTACAAACGGAGGATTGTATGTCCTTTTAGTATTTTACTGGAGCACTGCTAACAGCCTCACCCCCAAAAGCACTTAACTCTATAGGGAGATATAATTTAATTTGTCTTGTTACTTACTATGGATTAAGCTCAGATTCTCTGACATAAAATGTTAATTTGTGGGTTTTTGTGTGATCAAGATGCATATGATTTCTGTCTAGTAGAAAATATAACCATAAAGGATATGGTTTTATTGTTCTACAGAACAATTAACTTGTTTTGTCTCTTAACTCAGTAAAATTATTTTAGAATGCTTTCCCCATTGGACTACATAAACCCTATTGTTCTACTTCTCCTTTGAACCAGATTTATCATCTTGCTAGACCCTCATTAAGGAATTAAAGTTTCATCACATTTTCATTTTATATCTATCTATGAATCATTCCTTCAATTTTCTGAAGACTATATTCTGACAACTTGAATGCTAAGTTGAGCCAAAAAGATATGGTTGATTGGATTTTCAGAAATGTTATGTTAACAGGCAACAATTTAGTTGAGAATAAAACCTAAAATAAAAAACAAAGTACAGAGTCATCTTATTTTCAACTGAAAATTACCACTGTATAAACGTGAACCCCAAACAACAAAGTAAATGGCAACGGGACCATACCTATCAATAATTACCTTAAATGTAAATGGGTTGAATGCCCCAACCAAAAGACAAAGGCTGGCTGAATGGATACAAAAGCAAGACCCCTATATATGCTGTCTACAAGAGACCCACCT